CTGTCTCTCTCTGTCTCAAAAATAAATCAACTATAAAAAAATTAAAATGCCAAGTCCATTTCCTTCTTAGAACCTTCTAAAGGTACATCATGTTCCTTAGAATAAAATGTGCCATCCTTATAAAAGCCATATATGATTTGCCCTCCTCACAAACCACCACCAATACACACACACACCCCAGTTACCTGCCCACCAGCCCCTTCCCCTGGTATGCTCCCCCGTTTCTCCTCTGCCTCCAGGTGTGTTCTGTCTTCCTTGGTATTCATGCTTCTCCCTGCCTGATGCACACTCTGTTCACATGGCTCATCCTCCACTCATCTCTGAGTAAAACTCACTTTCTTGCCTACTCACCAACATCTCTAAAAAAGGCTTTGGAGGTTTGTATTTCCTCATAACATCATAACCTTCTGACATCATATATGTATTTGTTTTTTGTCTTCCCCATGGGATGGAGGCTCCATGAGAGTAGGGGTGTTTTCTATGAGTCCACATCTTTTTCCATAGGGCCTCAAATACAGAGTTCACTGTTGTCTGATTGGATGATTCTGCTGGACTCTGCTCAGTTATCAGGTCCATCCATGCCCCTTTAGAGTGGGCATTGGAATTACTGCGGAGATTGCCTAAAATGCACATGCCTTGACTCCAGCCCCTGGAGATCCCAATGCAGTAGATTCTGGGGTAGAATCCTGAACGTTTTTTAGCAAGCTTCCCAGGTAATTTTGATGCCTGAGGTAACTGGACCGGACTCTGCCAAGCACTGCCTCAGTGTACCACTTTACATTTGTTTATCTGCTGCTCTGCTCTGTTGAGAATTATTTCATGTATGTCAGCAGTGCTTGAATCACCTGGGAACCCAAATATAGATCTTGTAGCCCCTCCCTAGATCTGGTAAATCAGAATTTCCAGGGATGGGTCTTGGGAATCTATATTTTTTGAAAAGGTCCCTTGGTGCCAGTCTTCCCAATAGCCTTTGGGAGCCTCAGCTGTGTTTTACATACACTCCTTGAGGAGGTTATAAACTCAAGAGCAGGTGTTTCTTACGTCTTTTTAGGCCAACTCTCTCCTCGTCCCTCATTAATCTAACAGTGTTCTGTTCAAAAGTGAAATTCAGTAAGTCACTATGGGGTGAACACCTTGATTTATCCAGTTTCAATTTGCCTTTTTAATATGAACATCAACCAGTATTTCTAACTACATTTCAGTCCAGCCCATTCTCTGATTAGAGGCAGGAAACATATCTTACTTTGCTAATGCTGATAAGGACTCTCTTTGCAGTCTTTTCTGTCCAGAAATTTAAAATGTGTTTCCCAGGTCAGACAGCACTAAGCTAGGATCACCCATTTTCATAGTTAAACACTCACCTGTTCAACCTTCCTTTTGAGCCTGTCCTGGGGTGCACCTGCTTCGGCCATCCCCAACCTCCGGGTGCGTCCAGGTGACACCAGGCAACAAGGCCTGACCTCTTGCTCTGGAAGCCTGCCTGGGCTGCTCAGTCTCCTGAGGAAACTGTCCCCCTGCATTAGACTCCCTGTGGGGCCTGTGGCCCTGCCCTACTTCTGTTAGGTTTTGCCCTGGTTTTTGTCCTAGACACTCTATACAGGTGGAAAGTTTAAAACTAAAAGTGTTGGGGCACTTGAGTGGCTCAGTCGGGTAAGCGTCCAACTTCAGCTCAGGTCATGATCTCATGGTTCGTGGGTTCGAGCCCCGCATCGGGCTCTGTGCTGACTGCCAGCTCAGAGCCTGGAGCCTGCTTCAGATTCTGTATCCTCTCTCTCTGACCCTCCCCTGCTCGCTCGCTTGCTCCCTCTCTGTCTGTCTCTGTCTCTCTCTCTCTCTCTCTCAGAAATGAATAAAACATTAAAAAAAATTTTAAACCAAAAGTGTTAACCAAAAATTAATAAATGGGTGGGGAGTGGATGGGGCAGGTGATAATATATGCAGAATTTTATTCCTTGGCTAGACTCAGAGCTAGCCCCTAGGTTAAGAAGAATCACTGATGAAGCCCCAAAGAGAGCCCGTTGGTTAACCTATTTCTTAAATACCCAAGTCCCAATGGAGTGGGAACTCTGGACTTTGGGTGGCCAACTAGTAACCTTTTTTAATATATTGAGTTTGTGTGTATTCTTTGCAGAAGACGTCAGGGTCATTATTCAAGGCAGAATCTAAAAAGGAGTCGTGTCATTTAGGTAAGCCCAAGAAGCACTTCCCAGCACACACTGTCTGTACCTTAGAATTTTGCCTCTGGATAAGCCACAATTGCATTTTGATGCCAGATGTGAGAAGCCATTAGTAATCAGGACAACTCCCTTGGGAAATTTTGTTCCCAGTCCCTGTTCCAGAGGATCACTGTTTCCTCTGGAATATTTGTTTGAGGGGCTCCGCAGGCTGCGATTTAGTGACAAAGGGGAATGAATTGACCTTAGAAAAATAAGAATGAGAGATTTCTAATGAGGTCTGACAGTTCAAGGACTGAAGACTGAAGAAGGAGTCTAAGCTTTTTTTTATTTTCCTGCCCACCCAGTCTTCATACAAATGTAAATATGCCTCCTTCAACAAATTGCCAAATGTGGTTTTAATTTGTAAGCAGGAGACCCTGCCTTGCCTTTTTCTTTTCTTTCTCTCTCTTTTTTTTTTTTTTAAAGCAAAGTCACAGGTTTTGCACTTTTTGAACTGGACATTTCCTTCTGTCACTGCATCGCATTTTCTGTTGTCCTTTTCCTTCCAAGGACATTTTCCCCATTGTGTTCAGAGGAATTTGGGATGAGAGTCAATTGTCATGTCTCTTAAGTTTTTGAAGTTCCCATAGGAGATGCATAGTGCTTTTTAAACTAAGTTTTAAAAATAAATTAATAAAGGCAGAGATTGAATCTAGTATGACATTTGAAGAGTGTCACCATTGCGGCATCATATTTTATGTGGTCGATGCAGTATCCATTGTTGTTATTTATGACCCTGTCTGCCTTCCATTGTGGACTTCTTCAAGCCTTGGGGAATTTACATCATTCCTAATAGCAAAAGGCTTTCTGGTTCCCACAGTGTTGTTCAAAGCCTGACTCATGCTCCTTATGTTAATTGTTCAGCTCTGAAAATACAGCACTTACAGGGTGTGGTTATAAGGGGAAAATCTACTGTACTTATAGGGCATGTTTAGAAGTGTTTCACACATAAATATCAGTGTCTCTCTCTCTCTCTCCCCCCCCCACCTCCCCCTCTCCGTCTCCCTCTCCCCCCCTTCCCCCCATTTAACTTTAAACTGTAGCTTTGTCTGGTCAAATAGTGAGTCTTAGGGGGAGAAAGGGAGAAGCATCAAAATGCAGTATAGTCCAATAAAACCTATGTATTCTATTTACTAACTCTTAAAACTGACTTTAGGTTATATCTGGATATGACTATGAGTGACATTGATCCAGGTCTGAAACCATAGGCTGGATTAGCAGGAGCTAAAGGCTGGTGCTCAGTGGTTCAGAGTATCACTGATTGGACAAAGGTCATAGCATCAGCCTGTGGGGTATCCAGGTATCACACTGATGGTTGCCATCTACCAGGCATTCTTGGACTGCCATGGTTAATTCCAATGTAAGTCTAAAGCAAGGGACCCACTGATAATTTCCCAAAATTCTTCCTTATGGCCGCAGCATTTTACTATGGAATTTGATGGAGAAGGGTACTTAGTGTCACAGGAAATGAGAGAAGTTAACACCTTGTCTGGATTATCTGCTAGCTTAACAAAAAGGAAATGATCCCAGAACTATGAAATAGGTCACTGTTGGCAAATACTGGGAGTTTTTTACATTTTATAAGTACTTTTTAAAAATTTTATTTCTTTAGTTTGAGAGAGAGAGCATGGGGAGAGGCAGAGAAAGGGAGAGACAGAATCCCAAGCAGGCTCTGCACTTTTAGCAGAGCCCAATGCAAGGCTCAAACTCATAAACTGTGAGGTCATGAGCTGAGCGGAGATCAAGAGCCAGACACTTAACTGATTGAGCCACCCAGGTGTCCCGTTTTTGTAAGTACATGTACTTCTATATGAAGTTTCCATGGGAACATATAAGACTAGATACACAGATAATCTATGAAATATGTAAAATTGTTGTGCATAGTTTAAGAAAAACTCCCAGTTTTTTAGTAGCCAAGAATTCCAAACTTCAGTTTTCAAAGTATCCACTAAAAGCCTTAACTCTTTATGCAGTCTTGAGTATTGCAAAGGCCACCTTCTATATTTAAAAAAATTTTTTTTAATGTTTTATTTATTTTCGAGAGAGAGATAGAGACAGCATGAGCAGGGGAGGGTCAAGAGAGATAGGGAGACACAGAATCTGAAACAGGCACCAAGCACAAAGCCCGACGCGGGGCTCGAACCCACGAACTGTGAGATCATGACCTGAGCCGAAGTCGGATGCTTAACCGACTGAGCCACCCAGGCACCCCTATATTTTTGTAAATAGAGAAAATGTGTGGAATTCTTAGGAATCAGGGTACAGACCACTGTGCCAGTGGATCTTTCTCGAAGATCAGAGCTCACAAATATGCCTCTGCCCAGCACTGTAGTTCTGGGCTTTGTCACAGTTTGGGCCACAGAGATATCAGATACTGGCTAAGGGCCCCCTGTGTGGCTCCGTCAGTGAAGCATCTGACTCTTCCTTCATCTCCAGGTCGTGAGTTCAAGTCTTGTATTGGGCTCTGTGCTGCATGTGGAGCCTACTCAGAAAAAAAAGGGATTGGCTAAGAGTTCCCAGATGGTTCGGAACCTGCATCCTTTCTCTTACAGCCTTGCATGTTTGTGGTATATATTAATGTATGAACTGTGTTGGGTAGGAGTCCAAAAAAAGTGACAATTTACCAAAACGTTCTCAATTTTTAAAAAGTAAAATAGCCTAACGCTAAGCAGTCTCATCTGGTCTTCACAAAAATCTGTTCGCTGGGGCATTCAGAGCATAACTGTTTTTTCTCATGTTCAGCTAATAGATTTCTGGTTGAACCTTTGTTATCTTTTGGAGTAGACAGAAGGAGCTCTCCATGGAGCGTCTGATTATTTTGCTGAGTGTGCGGAGAGTCCACTTCCTCCCAATGCGAAGTGCAAGAGAAATACTCTGAAAGAAATGTAGGTCCCACAAATTTTCTTTTTCTCCTTTTTGACTGTGTATATGGATACATGACACAAAGCCTAGAATTCCACAAGAGTTTGTGGAAACTAATTACAAGACCCCGTCTGGCACCAGCTTTACCCTAAGTTCCGTGCTTGTTCTTCTGCCTTCCTGACTGTCTGCTGCTTTCTGGACAATGGGGAGCAAGTCCTTGCTTCACAGGTGTGTTGCAAGGAGTAATTAATTACAAGCACTTTGAAGATGAAACACACCTGTTTGGTGGTGTGTTTCATACAACCTTCTGAGTGACTACAGGTCGATCTAAAAAAAAAAAAAAAATACATTCCTTTCCTAAAATGCAGGTTCTCATTCTAATATAATTATGATAATCCTCAAGCCCTGATTAGGAACAATAAGAACGTGTGTGTGTGTGTGTGTGTGTGTGTTTCCAGACTAAGGCTTAGCCAAACTAAATATTTCAGTTTCAGTGTTTTGAGTTTGGTTTGGAGGTTTAAGAAATTTCCTACTATTCACCAGCCTGAAAATCTGTGTTGAAGTCAAGTCTCTAGTCTTTCAATTCTTCCCCTGCATTGCTATCCTGTTCCTCAAAGTGAATTTTACAAAGTGAGTGAGTTTGCATTGTCTTTTATGTGTGCTGTAGAAAAAGTGTGTGTATGTATGTGTGTGTGTATAAGCACATTCTTGCATATAAACACACACATATCCTGTAATTTGGATGTATCTGAGCATTTGCTTCTGGAGAAAATGTCAACATATCAAATTTAGGCAGTATTGACCCTTGACATCTGAAATGAATATTTGTCTGCTTTAATTAAAATAGATCCATCATAACTCAAGTATAACTACAGTGTAACCCAGTGATCAATAAGCAAGGCCTGTTCTCATATGTCCTAATAACTAATCCTAGTGTGTTGGAAAATGTGAAGGCTATTGCTTGATGCAGTCTGAATTTAAACATCACGCTCAGGGACTTTTCTGGATTTGCCAGGGAAGTAAGGGAGAAGGAAGGGTAGCCCAGGCTCCTTGTCCACGGATAGGCAATGTGACAAGGGCATTTGTAGGGCACCATGTCATTGCAGCTTTATAAAACAAAACAAAAAATCTTTCTTTGTTTTAGTGTGAGAAGAACTGAAACAAAAAGCAGCATTGTGGGCAAATCACAAAGCAGCCTGGACACTGGGGGGACAGCTAGTGACCCAGTGATTGCGGAGATGACGAGGAGGAGGGGTAACAGTCAGGTTTCAGCCAGTCCCCTGTCAGAGTCCACGGGACAAGCAATTATATAAAGGCAGCTGAGAGCCACTGGGGGCTTCCTGTTCAAAAGCTGGAAAATGTTCATCAGACCCCGCCAGGAGACACCAGCAGCCAGCAAAAACCTCATTGTGGGGAGTGGTCAGAGACAGGGCTTCTAGGCAGGAGCCCCGTCTGTAGCTGTGAGTCAGCATCACCAGGTCCAAAACAAAGTCCACAAGGGGCCAGAGCACAACAGAAACGCAGGAACCTCGGCTCTGCGGAAGACATCGACCACCACAAGAGAGTTTCTCTTGGAAGTGATCGATTAGTCCCAAGAGAAATAATAGTTGAAAAAAGCAAAGCTGTCAGGGTTTTGCCAAAGCTGTCGGATCCGGGGTTACTTTTGAAACAAGGTTTGGCAAAAACGGCATCTAATGAAGAGTTGCATGTTTTGGAAAATCTCTCCTCCGGACGTCTTACGAAAAATAAGCCAGGGCAGGCACAGCAAACCGGCTCAGCCACAAACACTGAAAGATTATCTGCAATCCAGGGCAGCCCAGCCAAGAAAAGAAAGAAGCATGAAAGAGGCCACTAACTTACTAAAGAGGATTGCAAAGATGTAGTTAGGGCTCTAGTGGCTAAAGGTGTGGAAAGAGAGGGGTGTATGTAGATGCTGTGATTTTAAAGGAATTAGAATGATTATTTTATACTGAAAATATTTATCTGTGTTAGGGTTAGTTTTCAATGCATTCATCTTCAGGAGGCTATAGGCTTTTTCTACCAACATTGCTACTTTCTCATGCTTTATAACTGTCTTCAGAAAATTATTTTTGTGATAAATGGCCATTCACCTTGTCAAGGATGATCCCATTCTTCAAGGACTTGCATGAAGAAACCAGCCATGTGTCTTCTTGGCCCATCACTGTGCACACTGTATGATGGCCTCCGTGAAGGCAGTGCCATAGTACAATTTCTAGGGGTACAATTTCTCTTCCTGTTCCTCAGCCTGAGTTGGACAGAAGTGAAGGAACAGGCTAGTGGTCTTCAGTATCTGGTTCTGGGCCCAGCATCACTGTCTGGAAGTGTGTTAGAAAGGCACATCTTGGGCCCCACCCCCGGCCTACTGAATGAGAAACCCTGGGCAATTCTGAAACATGCTCGAGTTTGAGAGCCACTGGACTAATTGGAGACTCCCTAGTGTTTCTTTCCTCAATACTGGCTGCCATGGCCTCTGGGTTCAGCATATGAGCAGCTCTGCTCCCAAGTTCTCTACAGCATGGTGGCCACTGCACCCATGAAACTGTTACCTACCCTAAGAATTACTAGAAGGTTATGGCTAATTTGACCCTGCATTAGAGGAAGAGAGCAGAGGGACAGGCTTCCTCTTGCTTGTAGCTTAGGCATCTGTCCCTGCGCTTGCCCCCTCCTCTAAGATTTTGGTTAGGTTCAGGAAGGATTCGAACCCAAGGGGAACTCAGTGGCCAGAGTTTCCAGTTTCCCATTTGGAAGGCATCACTGACAGTTTCAGTTTCAAAACAGGAGCCTTCCATTTGCACTATCACCCACTAATGTCTCCAGTGGGCTTGCTGAAATGTCAGAGTGAATCATTGCAATGACTTATTTTGGATGGACACCTACTAAAGATTTTCTTAACCCAGTTTCATTCTAAATAGAGGAAAAAAACATATTCACAGGCCACCCATCAAATACGTCTTTTTTTCTATTCAACATTGTGTGGTCCTTTGAAGTAGCACCTCCCTAGTAACAAGGAAAATCAAGTATATTCCTAGAATGTTGGAGTTAGCAGAAAAATAACCCAGAAAAAGCCCAGAGTAATAAAAGAATATGGAAACAGACACAGTGTTGGTGTACATGCTTAAGACTAAGTATGGTTACTCCTAGCTCATTCTATAGTTCCCAATGTCTCCTTTCCCACTTGTGTTATAGAGTAAAACTCATTAAGAGGCAGCCATATTTCATGGCACCATCTTGGGTCATGAAGTTCAGTGTTGATCACTACACCTGGCCCTGAATGTAGATCCTATTCCTTTGATGTTCCTCACCCGCCTAGAAACTTGTCCCCTTTGTGTGATCCAGCCTCATGACCTTCACTCACCAGGACCGTGGCCCTGTCCACTGGTGTCCTTTCCTCTTCCCACTCCTAGGTTTTCTTCTTTAGCCAATTGCAAACAAAGCATTCTATGGGAGAAGACGGAACCTAACAGAATACTAATCAGAGTGGAGCAGACTGTGTTCATCCCTTTGGGGTAGACTGCACAAGATTCAGTCTCCATGGTTGTTGGGGGGCAGGGGCTCTGCTTTTAAAGGGACAGCAATTCTAGGCATGCTCTTCACTGAAGACAGAAGCATAGTGTGTCCTTGAATCTTCTTAAACAGAATCACTGGAACGGTTTCAACAGGGCACAAGTAGTAACCCCGTGACTGGCCAAGAGACAATAAGCTCCCTGGAGAAGAGTCTAGAATAAAAAAAAGACAACCATTTCAGAACACTGGCTGCGCCTAATGCACACCTAGAAGGAGATGTTTGAAATGGAGGCAGCAGAGAAAAGCTTTTAATTGAAAAGTTTTTATTTCATTTGTTAATGGGGTAAAGTGAATACTTGTGATTTAGTGATTTTCTTTTCAAGAAAAGCCTTGGCTTTAGGGTTTGGTATATTTGTGGAAATAACAATTACTGTGACCTGAGAGGGAAAACAGCACCTTGGGCTGTAGACTGACTGGTCTTTCTCACAGCCCACATGTACATGGGATTTTCACAGGGTTGATGGAAGGAACAGCTCTCCGTTCCACATTATGGCACGTGTTGAAGGAATTTTGCCTCTAAGCATTTTTCTTCCACATGTCTGAAACACCCCCAATCTCTTCTTACTTGAGTGGTTGTGTGATTCTTTGGATGTTTGGAAATACAAAAGGGAAGATGGCTGCCAAGTTTTACTGGTGCTTATTAGCTGGGAAATGTAGAATTCTCTACTCCTGGGAGTGGGGTGTGTGTTGACGTTCTTGATAATCTTATTAATTCAGCATCTGAAAATCTGAGAGCTTGTCAGTGTTCTTAATCAAAAAGAACAAGTTCTTCAACTACTTACTTAGTAACCCACAATAAAATTATTTTCAAGTCTCTGTAATTCTGATGTTTGGGAGAAATGTGGATCCACTCAGTTAATGTTAACAATTTGAACACCCTAACTTTCTCAGTGTCATCATGGCTTCTAAGTCACATCGCTGTGCTTTCAGATGGCTTTTTTTTTTTTTTTACTGTTTTACTAGATTGACATTGGATTTTGTGTTGTTTTCTTAATGTCCATAAACAAGAAACGTCAGAGAATAGTCAGTGTGATTTTTCTGACACACTATTTTTCCTTTGCCTCTGGAGGTTAGCTCTCATCTAAATATGCATATAAATTGTTAAATGAAAGGGGGCAACCATTTGGGGAGACAGGAGTGAGTGCTGCAGGGTTTTTGTTTACTTATGTTAATATTAAAGAAGTAAGAAAATGTATTTTTTATGACAAGTATCATTAAACTCTAGGTTTTTTTAATGTTTATTTTGAGAGAGAGAGAGAGAGTGTGTACATGAGCAAGCGTGAGCTAGGGAGGAGCAGAGGGAGTGAAAGAGAGAATCTCAGTCAAGTTCTATGCCCAGCACAGAGCCTGATGCAGGGCTCCATCTCACACTTGTGGGATCATGACCTGAGCCGAAACCAAGAGTTGGACACTCAACCTACTGAGCCATCCAGCCTCCCCTCTAGTTTGATCTATGGAGACTCCAGCTTGTTTGTGAATTAGATATCTCAAAATAGGTCTTAGAGACAACAATGGGATCACAGTCAATTGTTTCTGGTGTCATGTTTGGATTTGAGCATGAGTTGTGCATCTCACAGCCTTTGATTTTAGGAAAGGCTTGGTGAGGGCAGAGCACAGAAGGGAAGAAAAGCTCTGTGCCCAAGGGAATGGCCTGGGATCACAGTGCTGCTATTCCCAGTTTCCTTGAATTCCTTCTTGGCAGGCCCCACCGTACTATTTCCACAAAATTTTAGTGAGTGGCCTTCCTTTTGACTTAACAAATGACTTTCCTAAGAGCCAAAAAGTCTCTCTTTAGTGTTCTGTGACTTGAATATGGAAATCATTTTAATTTCTTCTTTTCTGTTATGAGAAAATTTCCATGCTTTGTTAAGATTAACTAGAGTTCACTTGTTACTGAAACACTAATGAATTGAAGTATAGTGGAGCAAGTAAAAAATCAGAATTAAGCTGATTTCCGTTAAATAGTTTAAAATCTTACTTAAGCACAAAGTAAATTAAGCATTGTAAAATGAAGTTAATGCAGATAATTACTCAGGACAGAAGTCTAACTGTATCATTGGCATTACAGTTTAATGATATAATTAAATTCTCAGAAATCTGCACAACTCCTTCTAATTTGCTTTCTATATTTATTTAACAAGATGAGGAACAAATATATGTCAATGTGTGCGCTTAACAGAGGGGACTTGAGTGGATGAAGTTATTACCTTTAATTGTTGAGAACTGCTCAGTACTGTATGTTTGTCACATTCAATACATTTTATTAGGTAGTATATTACCATGAATTACTTTATTATTGTCATTAGAGTTACTTATCAAAAACCTTGATTCTGTAAACAAAAATCAATAAGACCATATATATGACCCCAAGCATCTGATCAGGTGGCTGTAGGTGTGGATTTTACAGGATAGTTTTCTTTAGTCCAGTTAGAAAGCCAGACACCGCAGTAATCACCAGAGAAACTCTTTTTCTCCATCCCCCGTATCCTGTCATTTCTTTTGTTGAAACTGTATAAATAGTTTAAATAGTTGTATGTGTCTGAAAGTACATGGGTAAAAGAAGTGTGTAGAGGAAATGAACTTGCTTTATGAATAAAAAGTAAAATTGTTTTAAAAAAATTAGTGTGTATCACTTTTCTTCAAAAAAAGCAAGCCCCGAGGAATATACATCCTAAATGCCCTTTCCTGAACATGCTATTTAAAGTTATATTCTGTTAGAGTCTCCTTCCTCCTTGAAGCAACCCTGAGGTTTCGAACACTGTGTTGAAATAATCCAAGGAGCTCTGCTCCCAAGCCACTGGTTCTAAAGATGTAGGTTTGGAAAACCCTGTGTGGCGTGTTGTGATTAAATGGGCCCCTAAGATTTTGGGGTGGTCTTTACAATGCAAATATGTTCCCACTTCTCCCAGTAGTGAGCTAAGATAGATCCCTCTTGTGAGAGGTTAAAGTATGCGACCTTGACTCTCTTCCAGAGAATCTTGACATCTCCCAAGTGGATTGGTTTCCATTTTCTAAGCGTATCTAGTCCTTGTGCATCACTGAATGAAGTCCTGGACTAGCTCTTCTCTAACTGCCTTTTATGACAGGATCCCAGGACTCTCTGATTGCCTGTATACGCATCTCCCCTCAGATCTGTACATAATCTTTCCAAGGCATTTCAATCTGAGTTTGGAATAATACATTTGGATAGCTGTGCATGAAATGCTGAGAACCACCGCGGCCGATAAAGCAAAGCACCTTTCTTAGTATTTTGCTGGTGCCAGCATGCTGGCCGCCCTCGCCCACGGGCCTCTGACCTGGCCAGGACCTGGGGTCCGGCTGGTGATCCGGAGACTCTAGATGGTGTGGTGCTCCCAGCTGCAACCCTGGGTTCAGGTTGCTGCTTTGCCACTAGTTGGTTTGTGTGCTTTGCGACAAAGTTAGCGAACCTCCCAGGCCTCAGTTTCTCCCTTTGTCAAATAAAATGATCTCTAATAGTCTAAGTGCCACACTTAAGGTAAACATGCCACTCCGATGTGTTAATTTCTGCACCCATTTAAAAACAGGTTCCTTGTACTGGCCACACATTGGGATTACTGAGTAGCTTCCAGTTACAATACGAATCCTTGCAATTTGGCCTGAGTATTGGCAGTTTTAAAAGCTCCTCAAATAACTGATTCTCAGGAGGAGCCATAGTAAAGAATTATTGTTTTAAAATGTAGGGTGTGTGTAGGTTTAAATGCTGGATGTTAAAAGAGGCAGGGTGTGTTCTGAGCGGAATATTCTTTAAATGAGGGGCTTTCTGCAGGTCTGAAAGTGTACTTGCTTTCAAATGAATGAGAAAGTCTTGCTAGAGGTTTGTCAATTTTGTTTATTTTTTCTTGGTGACTAGGTGCACATTTTAATCATACAAAGAGATGTGTCGTGTCTTCTCCGTAAAGCCATGTTCGTAATGCTGCTTTAGACCCAACACATCAGAGCAACTTCATCTGTGCCAAAACTGAGAAATTGTTGCCCTCATACAGCAGATGAGGTTTTAAAGCACCTAAATAATTGTCTAGGGTTTGCCTTTGATCCATGATCATTAATATCACTAATAAGCTCTCGAAAAGTGCGTGTGAATCTCAAGTTCACATTTGGCAGGGCAGTGGAAGAATGAACGCTTTTAAAATAGTTTGGCTCAGAAAGCACATCTGAAATAACCCTGTGGGAAAATCAGGAGAATTTCTCATCCTCCAAAGGATTACCTAGGATGATATGCTGACCTTGTATTTTAAGTTCAGTTACATTTCTTAAAACCTCATTCATTACCCCGCCTGATTTATTTTAGTGGGTAAAGTAGCTGTGGGAGGGGACTCTGGTGATATACAGTTTTCATGTTTGCCTTTTGTTTTCTCCACAGTTCCCAAAAGATCAGAGCATACGCATATATTTCTTTAAAACATACACACAGGCCAGCTTCCTCAAGATTTAGCACAACTTTTCTCTCAGAAATTCGAGCTGAAGATTGTCTCCTCTTCAGGCTTCTAAAGCGATCCAGCCCCAAAAGGCTGAGTGTGCACAGGGTGAGCAGAGCACTGACCTCCACCAGGGAGAGGTCAGTTCAGCACACAGGACTCAAAAGGGAGGAAGAAAAAGCCACTCCTCAGCAGGGAGTTTGACTTGCTTTAGGGCAGAAGAGATTTTATAAATAAGTTCCCAGTCTCCCACGCCCTCTCACCGGCTCTTCTATTACTAGTCCTGTCTCTGCGCTTAGAGACACACACACACACACACACACACACACACACACACACACACACACGTGCTTGCACACAGCACACATAGACACAACTCTTACCTCCACTTGCTGCCTCACATTCCTATCTCCACCTGCCCTGGGACCTGTAGGTTGGACGGGCAGACCCTTCTCTAGAGGAGGCAGGTGATGGATTGACTGGGAATTTTTCTAAGCCCAGTGGCTCTGAAGGCCTTTTCTCTTCCTCCTTAACACGCCCAGCTGGTGAGAAGCATGCAGAGGGCTCTTTCCCAAACCCACTGTGGGTGCCTGGGAGGATGAACACCTGCCCATCCATTCCATTTATCAGGGGGAGAAGGTGAAATAGTGAATTAGGGCGACCTCCAGCCTTGACATGGCGGGCTGGGTGTTTGGGCCGTGTCTCAGTAGGAGGAGCCTCAAAGGCCCTTCCGTAAGATGCCAGAATGAATCGAGGCTTGTGAAACAACAGCACCACTTGGATCTGTATGTTACCCCTTTAAAATGGCTTCTGGTGAGCCTTTTCCCAGTGCCTTGTGCTCAGCCTGGTGACCATCAGAGTGGAGGTTGCATGGGCAGAGCCTGTGACATCTAGAGATGTGTCCTCCGGTGGCCCCCCCACTGAAAAGCACCTGTCAGTATGAAAGCACTTCTGGGAGCAAAAGCTCTCCATGTCAGAGATTCAGTGGGATCTGATTTTGGGGTTCTTGTTTTGATGATAATGATCTCTAGCTGGAAGAACCTTGTGGGCCTCACCTAACTAACATCTCTATACAGGCTCAAAGACAGGCATACTGTCCATCTGTGAATTTTCTACATCAAATCAGCTTTGCTCTCTCTTGAAGATCGTATTTCTCAACACTGGTTTATCAAATTGCATGTTCTGGGTTCTGGCTGTGAAAACGATTTTGGCAGCTCTTCTGCACATTTATAAGGTCTAATTCTAGGTTCTGGTGATGCTTTAGAAAAGCTTGCTGAACTTGAGAGAGACGTTAACTTTCTGCCACTGGTTATGTGTGTGCACCTGGGCCAGCTGCCCCTAGGAGGGCAAGCTCAGGAAAGGGGCTGGTAGGAGAGGAGATTGAGCTTAATGTTTAGCTCCACCTCAGTCCAGACAAAATGGCCTCTGTGTCGTGAGGACAGCTGAGGAGGAAACTTCTTTCTAGGGAAAGGATGCTTGGTGGGAGAGTTGTCCAGTGTTCTGATAACGTCATCTAGAAGACAAGTCACACATTATCACCTTCCGTAAGGAGAGAAAACTGGCCCAAGACCATGTGGCCTGGAGTCCTCCAAGGCCAACTACCTGAGCTTACCTCATTTGGCTCTAATTGTATAAAATGGTGGGAAGGATAGATATGGAAGGCAGAACTATGCTCTGTTATTTAGAAGCTGCAGAGACCTGTCTACACTGGCAGAACACACACTGCAGTAGAATTTAATTAGGAACCAAGGTTTTTTGTGGTCCCGCAGTTCATCCTTGCATGAGTTTTTCTTTCTGCTACACTGGT